AATCGTGGGGTGTAAAGTATTGAATGTGCCTCAAATAAGGTGAAGATCTCACGCCATCGTGGTGACGTCTCACCAACAGCGAGATGAATTTGAATGGTTGCAAGACTTCACCAGAAACAAATCATAAGCGATCATCAGCGACGTCCAGATTGTGATAAAGAAGATTTAAAAGTCAAAGAAATCAAAAACTTGAAGGAATGGTGTTGGAGTGAAGAATGAAAGGAGAATATTTTGAAAACAACCGGGGTACCTGGAAAACAATAGCACTTCGGTGTAACGTTTTATCCCGCAGAGAGATAAATTAAAAATGGAATTGGTACCGGAAAAGCGCGTTAAGATTACCGTCAAAATATAATTTTTTCCAACGTTGCTCCGTTTCATTCCTCAAATACCATAACTAATTGATGACCGATAACTACAATTCCAATCATACCAATGCATTATTAAAACAACTGAAAGCTCCTAAGAGAAAGATCGAGCGATAGGTTCTTTTTCGCGACGTGGTTTTTTTCCGTAAAAACGTTCAAAGAAAGTCTTATTTTTCATTACCATTGATATTAAGACGTTTCTAGTTCTTCCTTGCTCCGTCCGTTTCCCTCATTAACGTCAACGTTAGGTTTCTATCACTGAAGTTAAATGTGCTAAAGCGGGAATAATTGAAGTTTTTCAACCACAATGGTGCTGAGATATTTGACACTTGAATGGCCCATCCTCAAAGGTTGTGCAGGCCCCAGCATGATCTCCATTTTTCGGAGATTTGTTGGTTAAACCATTATGGTTTCTTGGAGTCCCGAGGTCAGCCTGGCCAAAGTCTGCCCCAGGTCTTCACCACCACGGGTAGTAGCAGCCCTCGTGGATCAGAGGGAGATTTATCACCATGCGGCTTTGATACCAGGACGGTGGTGGATCCTGGTATTGGTTTACTCTTAGCTAGGCTTTCTGAAGAAAACGCCGAACTCCTTCTCAGCTTGGGAGACCCTGCCAGGGGATGAAAACTCTCGCTGTACATCGCAGTCCGACACCCAGGAACACCTCCCAGCCAGGATGAGGCGGTAAGCCGTTGGGAGGATCTCGCACAACAGCACCAGCAACTATGCACCTGTTGCTAAAACATATTCTAGCAGGGGATGTCAAATTTTTGCCGGCTTGAAGGTGCATCAAATGAGGTGATGATTTCACATCATTGTGATGATGCCTCACCAACAGCGAGACGAATTTGAATGCTTCCCAGAGTTCATTAGGAAAAAATCACAGAAGATCATCAGCGATTTCCAGACTGTAATAGTGAAGGTTTAAGGATTAAAGAAATCAAAAACTAGAAATAATGTTGGAGTAAAAATAGCATGAAGTATTTTGTAATCTCAATGATACTGAGATATTTTTCTGGGATACTGAGATACCTGTGCCTGGACGTTTCCAGATTTTCACGATAGACAGTTGCTAGTTTTCAAATAATTTTGCAACGAAAAGATAACCATCTGCAAAGGACTTTCTTACAGTATTTTTAGAACGTTTCCATAGCTAGTCTTCCTCGTGACTGATGTTGTGAAGGATTTTCTTTGTTTCAGCAGTTTATCATCGTCTGAATCCAAATTACTCTTGTAGCGCCTAAAAGCGTGAACCACTAAAATGGATATATTTCTTGAGTAGAAAAAATAAAGTAAAGAAGGAAATATATAGCAAATGCAACCACAAGATTGCTGAGAAATTTGCAAAACCTCGAACTGCAGGTGTGCGGTGGGTAACGAATGCGCTATTGTCCTTTCCAGGGAGTAACGCGTTCAACACAACACCATGCGGGTCCTTCGTTTCGCCTGTCTTTCAACTAGTTCTATCGAACCTTTGCCATCAGCAATCACCTATCAGTGGGATTGATCTGTGGAAACCCAAATCGGCAACGAACCCAGTTAAGCTGAGGCCGCAGTTATAATCACAATTTTAACTTATTTATTAACTTATTTACTGCCAACTCTTTTTAACGGCAGGGTATACATTGTGAAATATAACTTCTATGATGCTGAGATATTTGCAAAACTCCGGACCGCAGAAAACTATTTTGTATTCACCATCACAATATTCGGAACGTGAAAACTTTAAGGGATATGAATGCCTTTTCTTCGTATTTTTGTTGAGCAAACGCGAAGTGTTACTATTCTTTGTTCACGATTAAGCTGACGTTTCGGCAGTATCGCCTTCTTCAGAGCCTGGAAGGGTATACTGATATACAATCTACTAGGCCAAACGCTTCAGTAACACTTACAAAAAGACGAAAAACTCTATGGCAGTTACATGATCAACAGCTTCTCCAAAAACCCACCGCTTTTTCGTGACTTCCAATGAGGAAGTTTAGAACAGCTGATTTTAGTCGCATATGGTTGATGACTGCATCATCCCACATCAGAAATTGATGCGAACATACAGGGTCAGGTCGCGTGTGACCTCTGGGCATTCCTCCCTGCTATTCAGAATCGCATATGGAAGAAAACGGCTCTGAAGAAGGCGATACTGCCGAAACGTCAGCTAGTGTTGTATTGTATTGTGTTTTTCTATGGAAGTAAATGTATGCTGTTTAGAAACCTCGCCATTGTTGAGCAGGAAAACGACGCATTCATATTCCAGTGCCGAGGTTAATAGAAAGTCGATCCTGGAAACTTTATGGGATATTTAATTTTGCCAATGTTCTTTCGTTGATTGCTGCTTGATGCTCAGTCAGAAGTGAATGATAATTTCTTACGCTTTCTCCAACAAAAATCCTAAAAAAGTATGTGCAACGATGTCCTTCAAGCAAATTGTCCGGCAAAACTCGTGGTCCGCTGAAGGCCAAATTTCCCAGTCTCACAAGTATTCCAATGTGCATTTTGAGAGTAATAAAATTGGAAGAAAAGCTATCGCTTGTTGTTAACAGCGCGCTTAAGTTTTTGAGATAAACAAAAGCGCCGTGGAAAAAAAACAAACTAGGCAATGAAAGAAGCAGCAAAAAAAAAAAAGAAAAAAGACAACTAATGTTGTTACATGCTTTTATATGACAAGAACTTTTAGTAATACTATAAGTTGGAAAGACATTTGAGAACCAAAAATTTGGTGATTAACGCTTAGTTATCGCTAAGGACCATTATTCTTCGCCAATGTCAAGCAAACCATTCGAAGTCGGAGAAAAATATTACACTTCAGAAAATGAAAAGATTTGTCAGAGAAATCCTGCTTTCGCTTCTTAGCCTTGGGTTTTTCTTATGGTAACACTCGTAAATAATCTGTCTCATGCTGCACATTCTAGTTTTTGCTTTGCATTGCATGCAATGCGATAAGAATGCTGCGTGGTACTCGGAAGAGGAACACGAACGCCTCCTCGAACTGTGTCAGCACGGCATGGTGCCGTTGACTCCGTGCCGGAATCACTCGCACACTCACTGCATCGTCAGCTGGTATCGGAGCGGAGGCAGTACAGGTATGTGAGAGAAGAAATGTTCGATTTATTGATTGATTTATTGATTTCTGTCCTAATTTTCATTTATTGGTCGTCCATTTATCTGGATTTTACTTATAACCTTCTTAAATACTTAGTTATTTCTTCGATATATTACCTAACGACTTCGAAACTTCTAGCACTGAAAAGAAATCTATGGCAGAGTAGCACGAGAAAGCTGTGGGTATGATAAGTATTAAAACAGGGGTAAAAATAGTACAGCGATAATTTGCCTCAGTTCAAGGACGATGAGCTTTTTTTCTAAAAAATTCATCAGCAAAATTATTGTTTCTTTCAGTTTCCCCGTTTACAAAACCGTTGCAGAAATCCCCAGTTCGGTTTCTCTAGCAAAATTCTTAATGCTGATTACAACAATATAACAAGAAACGAGACTCATCAAGCTTGGTACATCAGCAGCTACTAATTCGAGAATTGCACACGGTATTATTGGGATTATCAACCTTATATCGTGCTGGTTGGAGATATGTCTTGATCTCGACTATGATGTACAGTTAAAGGACATACTATCAGTACAATCGGCCGTCGTGGGAAAACTTCTATATTTCCAGTCTGGTGGGCCACAAAGAGTAAACCTATGGCTAAGACAGGTTCCGGCGAAGCAGCTGTGGTTACCGTCTGGTCAAAGTAGGTGAATATGAGAACATCATGCCAAAAGTGTAACCCTCTTCGTGTTACTTGAGCATTTGGTGTCCTCAAAAAGCTCTAGTGGTCAGTTGCTATGAATTTAGAATCCTGAGCTGAATCCGTTCGAGCTATCCGATTATTAACAAAGTATGATCTGAACATCGTGTCCACTTCGTTCTAAATAGTGTACAATTAAACGCCTTAATAAAAATTATTAGTTCCACCTTGATGCGTCTTCTTGATACGTTATGTCTGGAATTTGCATAATGGAAAATCCTAGCACGAAAACAACGAATCGGTCATTTTGCGGCGGTTTCTATCTACATCGGCTTTCAGATTTCCACAACCAGCTTCTGCCAATTAGGCGGTGTGACGGAATATGCGGTTACACATCGCCTGAGACATTTGTCAGTAGCGCTTGACCTTACTTTTCTAGTCATCCGATGGGCCGCCTATGAGTTTCTATGGCTACCTGGAGTACCACCATGGAGGAGGTGGAGTCGAACTGATGGAGTAGTTGGACGAAGGAGACAATAAGAATTCTTGACGAAAGTGGTTTCTTTCTCTAAATATCTCCACGAACATTGTTTTCGTTAACTGTGGTGAACACCATGTATTTGCAAATAGCATGAATTTTCGAAGAACATAGACCTTCAATTATTCCTTTCCAAGAAAATGCAGAAGTATCTCACTCAAGAACAGTAGTAGTAAGAAAAGTCGAAAATTATTGCCGATCAAGTCACTTACGATGGTAACGTCAACCATTAGTAAAGTGATTTACGACGTTTTCAGTTAACTTTACTCTTGTTTTGTTTCAACTTGATCCTTCAGCTCTCTCATCTGTCCGTCTCTTCTTCTCTCCTATTCTATCCCTTTCTGTGACTGTCTGATTAGTTTGAGTTCTCCTAAGTGTTCACCACAATTATAATGGCGAACTCTATAAACACCATATTGTTCTTTTCAGCATCGACCTGCCGGTGGTGCGCTTGCTTTGACGCCAGTCCAATTAGGGACGTCCTTTATTAAGTACTGGGGCATACGCTCATTGCTATATATACACAACTAATTGTCTGCAACTAGCAGCGCCTTACAGAAGTACCGCACTTAGGTGGCGGCGAAAATATGTACATAGGAACAGATCCCAAAACTGGAAGGCTTGGTGGACTCACGGCATGGCGTCGAACCAAGGAGGCCATGTATACTATAGAGCACTGCTGATCGCTGCACCGCACGCATCCGCATATGTCGACATAGCGGAGTATGGTGTTGCACATATGTCATATGATTGGCTGAATTCTTAAGTACTGCGCACCAATATCGGCTGCATATTCGGTTAACCATCGATCGGATGTATCCGTAAATTTTTCATGCCTCCCTATTGGATGTCAAAGTTTCTCAGTGCACTCCGTTCACTCGAGGTACACAGGAAGCACCACACCGTTTGTTCAACGCCCTGTTTCACACGCCTGAAATAAAGCCCTTTATTTCGAAACCGACCTTCCCTAAACCTCGGTGTGACTAATCAATATGTATTCATTCTTGATAAGCTTGCACGAGGTTGATAAATATATTTATTTTCGGCTAACGTTTCGACGTCTTCGTCTTCCTCAGAGCCGGTGATCCGAGTCGATGGTCCATGCCTGTTGTTCGCCTCGACGTTGCGTCTTCGCCTTCCTGTCGAGCCAGATCTTCCTCAGCGAGCCATCTTCTCGAATGAGGCATCCTCACTCAGTGATGCCCTTTTATACACGATGCTGATGGTGGATATGTAATGACAATGTCCGGTGGTAACAACTTGTATTTCTTCCGGACATACATCATTGCGCACATCGTGCAGAGGTCGGTGTATTATCAGCTAGCACAAATGAAGAATCAAGAATGAGGTGCCAGATACAGGAAAGTGATGTCAAAAAGGCAGCGTTAGAAGCCAGTGTAAACTAGACCACAAGTCTGAAAGGTATCTTGAGATACGGTTAAGTTAGTGTCATGAAGGAAACTTTTCAATTACATAAACCGTACCCCTTAATTGTTAGTGAGATTTTGAATAAGAATTTAGTTTCGGTTCTCTTAATGAATCTCTGTACTTAGATTCCTCAGGTTGGTGGTAACCAGCGAAAATCTGCTACGGGTTATTATTTATTGATCACCTTATTCTTGTACTACATAGCCATTTTCGTACCAATTCAGTCTTCCAAAAAAATCACCGTAAAGCGAAGAGGTCATTCACATTTAACATAAATCAAAACACGCCCACATTTGAGCTACGCTAGATGGGTTATCCGGAAATCAACGCAGATTTCCCACAACATCAATTAAAGTTACGATATTTTTTTTCCTTTTTAAATCAAGTAACCTAGACTAAATATAATATAAGCTAGAATAAATAACAAGAATTTATCAGAAGAAGGCCGCCAACATTAGCGAAGGAAAAATCAATCTCAAATGATTTGCAACCCCATTTTTGCTAACGCCAAAATTTACCATTATACTTTAGAAAGTATTCATATTTATCTCCAGAAAAGGTTGTGACTGAACGGAAGTGTGGTGGAGTGGAAGACGTGACTGGATGCACTTTGTATAACTCGAAAATCAGTCGAAAGGTAAGCACTCTGTAATCCGCGAAGATGGATTACTGTTTGCATTAGTAGGTCAGAGATAGTACACCAGGTGATATTGAAGCTTTAAAATTGCATAAAATTTTGCTATGCTAGAAGGAATGAATCTTTAAAAGGATATATGATCTGACCATGATGGTTTGTCGTTGCCCATTTTCGCAAAGAACTGGTGTTTACTCGTCCTTGAAATCTTTGCTTTAACTCGCATTCTACCATAGTTTGGAATAATTTCTGCTTTGTGTTATGAGAACATCAAAGCAGGTCGTTCTTATGTGGTCATATCTCTGATTCTTGTAGATCATAGGTGATTAGGCTGTCTAACGACTCTGATCCTATCTTGAGGCGGTGACCCGGGCACTGAACCACTTTCAACTGCGATCATAATTGGAGAATTTTAGCTTGTCCTCAGCCTAGGTAGCCCCACTGGAAGTAACTTCAGTAACACTACCTTCTTTGCACAATGAAGTTCGATAAGCAGGAATAATTTCGACAACGGTGAAGTGAATTATTTGAGTTAATGAAAAATCCCAAGTAATAATAAGCCAAGTGGATACGAACAATTTGCAAACAATGTTTAACTTTCATTTACTGCACCCCACTTTTACATGGTAGAGTACTATGTGAAATATAACCACAAGGATTCAGAGATCTGAGAGAAAGTCGGAACCTCACTTGGGTTTTGAACTCTCGGTTACTCCTACAGGCGCTCACGTGTTACCTACCACATCAGCCAAGACCCTTGTTTTACCTTTTTTCTTGGATAGTTTTTTTTACCCTCCTTGATTTGATCACGGTTCCACAAATCGGCATTGAACTCAGTCAAGCAGAAGCTGCAGTCGAAATCACAATGTCTTGTCTTTTATTTACTACCTATTCATTTCCCTTTACGGGTGACTACTAATAGCACCGATATAGTCAAGGAAAAAGGCTCAGAGAAAAGCAAAGCAGGGACGTCGGTTGCTGTGGTGAATAGCATATGAGTTCTTATTTAAAGGTAAACGCGAGTTCATAACCTGCCTGAGGTTCTAAATTTTAATAATTTTCTACGTCCTCGAACTGACGCGAGGTTGGCATAAACTCTTACTCAGCTAACTTTCCGACGTCTTCATCTTCTACAGGCCCGGATTTATCGGATCGAGGACCCACAGCTGGTCGCTGTTGCAATGTAGTTGTTCGTTCCCGCATCGAGTCGTACCCAGTAGAGGTAGCACCGCCCGAGTTAAGAATCTCACTAGACGATGCTCTTTTGTGCAAAACGGATGTTGGTTGTTTACCGGCATCCAATACGACCTACATTTTGGCGCACAATATGTCATGACATCCCAACGGTTCACCGCATCATCGTAGCTGGGAGATGACCCTGGATGTTGGACTGCAATGTTCAACGGGAGGATCTAACCACCTGACAGAGTCTCTCGAGCTGAGAAGGAGCCCGGCGATTTCATCAGGAAGCCCAGCCGAGAGTAAACCAATGTCAGGATCCATTGCCGTCTTGCTATCAAACTAGTCGCATGGTGCAAATCTGCCTCTGGTCCACAAGGGCGGCGACTGCCTGTGGTGGTCACGACCTAGAGCAGACTTTGGCTGGGCTGCCCTCGGTACTGCAGAGAAACACGTTCGGAAGATGGAGAATATGCTGGCGGCCGCACAACCAGTGAGTACGGGCCTTCGAAGTATCCAACTAAGTAATATATCATGTATGATATTGTGTACTTAAGGTTCTGGTACATAAGATATTAGTTTTACTCGTACCTCAGCATCATATCTCTATGGTTGTATTTAACTCTGTAAAAACTTTTGTAAATGTAGATGTAATGGCACAGCTGAGGCAGAATTTGACACTTGATGTCCCAGATAATTGCTGATAAGCCTCACATTTAGGCCCGTCACCTCCTGTCAAAAGGCTACTCATCAGGAACTGTTCGACGCGAAACATTTGCGCTTTTTGTGGAGGTGATTATTCAAGCCTTTTTCAATATTTATTTGAAAAAAGCGCAGTATGAATTGTATCACCTGTACCACCTGTTGTCCCGTTAATCGTCGAGTGACTCGAGCGGGTGCCAGTAAATCTTCTATTTTGATTTTTGATCGTTAACGTAGGTCGGAGCATCGGATTTTTTCCTTTATTTGCGTGACTTGGACTACTCCTATCATCGTCCTTTCGACTGCGTGTTCAATAACGCTGAGTGATCCTTCATCCTACTTACGCAGCGACCCAGTCTAGGTCTCTGACGCATACGCTAAAGCGGGAAGTACTGTTGAGACGAAAAGGTGGGCACGAAGTCGGATGTTCTTTGTTCTCTTCACTGCATTCCCTGTGCTCTTGAAGGGTTCTCAGGCCACTCGTTTTCTTCTGCTCAACTGTGAAGCTAAACCACCCATCATGTTGATTTTTTTTTCCTATTTATACGTATCACGGTTCTTCTTCATATGAGGGATCTCGAGCCGGTTAGTCGGAAGGCAACTTGGCCCGTCCTCAAGTGGCGAATAGGGGGTTAATCGCGGACCAAAAGCGACCTTTGCTTCTCTGAGACGCAGGTGGATCCAGGGGATGGACTCCCTGTTTCTGCTGCTCTGATTTGGCACATACTTTCTATATTTGCTAGGCGTATTTATGCATGCGTGTGTAGGTGCGTTCTTGCTTATGGGGATTGTATTCTACGCGTCAATTCGGCCAAAAGCCTGCAATCAAGTAACAGGGAAGTATATGGGAGGCAGTTAGGAGTCGCCTCCAACAAATAAGCCCCATGTCCACTCTGGGAGAACCTGGAAAGCTACTCGTGAGTGTACCCAGCATCTACGTTCAGAGCCCAGCAAGCCATACGTAGGCATCAAAAATGATAAACACAGTAAAAGTAACCAGCCTCATTCCCCTGACTTCGAAAGAGCACTCAATTTTGCAGCGTTGATTAGGACGAGTACGAAGAGGATGGTAAAATCTCAAAGATAATGGAAGCTGCCTGGATTTCAAAGAACTGAGGGGACGAGCAATACCTGCAATGCACGTACACTTGCATCCGAGTCCTCGATAGAAGACTTACACATGCAAGCATGAAGAATGAGATACGACGTCATCGGCTTGGCCGAGACGAAACGACGCCACTCATTCAACGCCGTCTATGACACCGGAGAAGAACTGTTCCTCGGAACATGCGACAGTAGAGGAGTCGGCGGCGTCGACGTTCTCGTTAACACGAGTTTGTCCATGAACATCGATTCATTCAAACAACTTACAACCTGAATCGGACGTTTACGATTAAGAAGACGTAGATCAATTTAGGCTTTGTCAATCTTTATCGTTTACGCGCCGGCATCAAACTATGACGAAGAAGAAGTCGAAGCGTTCTATATGGACTTGGAGACGTTCTAGTGAGAAGACTACACGTTCTTCAAGGTCATCATTGGAGATTTCAACGCGAAGATTGGACCAAGAAGATTATCTGAAGAACGTCACATTGGAACTCACGGATAAGAATGGAACGAATAGGGTGTGCGGCTACCTGAGTTTATCATGGCGACCAAGACAATCCATGGTAACTCTCAATTCCAGAAGCCCCACCATCAGCGCTAGACGTGGGATTCTTTCAATGGAGAGTACCATAACGAAATAGACCACATCATAGTAAACAGAAGGTTTTGCCTAACCGAAGTCGCTGTTGCTCGAAAATTCTACACGAGTTTAGACCATCGCCTCCTTTGTGCAAGATTCTATTTCTCACGGAATGGAGAAAAAGGCGCTAAACTCAAAAACCGAAGTCCCAGAACCACCATAAACTGGGACTTAATCAATTTATTATTCGGCTGTTGGGTTTTTACGCTAGCGCTATGAAAGCTCAGAGTTAGAAAGTCACTAAGAGACGTTTGTCTCCAGAAACACTCGACCTGATACGCCAGCGTGGAATCGCACGAGCTGCAGGCAACCGCGAACTAACGTCTGAACCTGCAAAACAATGCAGATGGACAGGTGATAAAATAAGATCTTAAAGAGAGAAGAGTATCAGTAATGGCCAAAGCTGCAGAGGCTGGGAAAAGCATAAGCAAAGCCCACCGAAGCTTCGCCAATTACAAGCCCAAGATGATTGCACTTCGACGCCCAGACGGAACAGTGACAGCATCTAGAAAGGCAATAGAGAAAATCATTCACAAATACTACTCAGAGCTCTTCGATAGCCACGTCCATCTTCCATGATATAAAATAAAGGAGGATGGATATGTTGTACCACCTGTTCTCCCTTCGGAAATCTGCTATGCCATTTCGTCTGTGAAAATTCGAACAGCACCAGGTCCGGACGGGATAAGACCTTAATACCTAAAGAACCTTCGACCAGTTTTCGCAAACACATTGGCTGGGCTCTTCACACGTTACCTGTCTGAATGTAAGGTTCCTACTTAGTGGAAGACCAGAAAGACCGTGTTATTGTTCAAGAAGGGTGACCTACACGATATTGGCAACTATCGCCCAATCTGCCTACTGTCGGTCGTCTACAAACTTTTCACTCGAGTCATCCTAAACAGGATTGACAAAACACTAGACGAGAGACAGCCATGTGAGCAAGCAAGGTTTCGAAGAGGACCTAAATTCACAAGGTAACACGGCTCATTGAAGTATCGCGACAGTACAAAAGACCGCTCTGTCTCACTTTCATCGATTTACAGAAGGCCTTTGATTCAGTTGAGATAGAAGCAGTCTTGGAAGCACTCGATAGTCAAGTAGTTCCTACTTAGTACGTAAAGATTTTTCATGAGCTGTGCAAAAATTTCACGACCAAGATATTACCGTTCTACAACGATATTAACATTGACGTCAAAAGAGGAGTTAGGCAAGGCGACACCATCTCGCCAAAATTATTTACCGCCACCTTCCAGAATGTCATGCGAACATTGGAATTGGATAATATGCGAGTGAAAATCGGCAGTAGACAGTTACACCACCTTCGCTTTGCTGATGATATCGTCCTTATAACACCAAACATTAGCCCAGCGGAACGTATGCTTGACGA